GGATTTTCAGGGTCGTTTTATATCATAAAAAGACAGATCGAGTTCGGAGAAGAGCATTCTAGCTCAAAAATTGGATTTTTAAAAAATCAAAAACCACAGGTTCCCCAAAAAATGTTTTTTAAAAATTTTTTTTTGCAGTCTCCTAAGGGGTAACTCATCAAAATAGAGTCCTTTCGGCAAAACATTTCTCCGTTTTGCTCTAGCTCAAACCGTTGAGGCGCTAGAGGGTGTTTTTGACGAAAATAAGCGAAAAAATGTACAACCCTGCATGCTTAGTCAAAGTGACGGACCGTTGACGGGCCAGAGGCCCGAATCTTTGTGTACACTTTTGCACTACCCGACTCGGGTCGGGTGTCAGCGCCGCAGGCCTAGGTAGATGTATGCCAGGCGCGTCGCAGCGTAACAGTGTTTCGTGAGATATCGCGAAGCCTGTTACGCGAGACGTGGTCTGGCGTACATCTACCTAGTATCTCATAAACCGTTTGAGCTACAGAGCCCAGATTTGGAGTGGGTTCATATTTCATCAATACCTTTAATTTTTGAGAGTAAACAAAAATCAGACCGGGAATTTTGGGTCGAGGACAAAAAGAACTACTCCAATGTTCTGTCTGCAGCGTGCGGAATAGACGATGTGACCCAGCGGCAAAAGTCAATGTGGCAATGTTACACCGTGTATTTGTTTTTGACCAATATAAAAATCATAAAAATTCTCTAAAATTACCCAAAAGACGTTTAATGTCATTTGGTGTACTCTACGCGGGTACGCGGGTCTCCCTGCGGTTCTAGCAGAAAGGTTTGCGACGTTGCCACGCTCAGAGTCACATCGTCTATACACAATGTTGTATCCGCAGACTGCCGCATACACAATGTTCTATCTGCAAAACGCGGGTTTCGGGATACCACAGAAAAATGCTTTTTACTCCGTAACCTCTCGTTGCACTTCACTTTTTGCAGTCAATAATTGGCTGAGCGATTAGCGAAGCCCATTACTCCACTGACCGGAAAAGTTTCATTCTGTTTGTTTGTTTGTCTGTCCGTCTGTACGCACGATAACTCGAGAAAGAATTGAGATATCGATGTGGGAATTTCAGGGTCGTTTTGTATCATAAAAAGACAGATCGAGTTCGAAGATGAGCACTTTAGCTGAAAAATTGACTTTTAAAAAAATCAAAAACCACAGGCAACAATGTACTTTTTTTCCAAATATTTTTTTATGGTCTCCCGAAAGGTAACTCGTGAAAATAGAACCCTATGGGCGAAAATTTCGTCCATTTTGCTCTATCTTGCACCGTTTGGGTGCTAGGGGCCATTTCTTGACAAAAATGAGGTGAAAATGACCAAATCGTATAAAAAATACTTAACATCGACAAATTGTGTATACACTTCTGTTAACTCGTCTCGGGTGTCAGCGCCGCAGGCCTAGCTATATGTGCGCCAGGCGCGTCGCAGCGTAACAGTGTTTCGTGAGATATCGCGAAGCCTGTTACGCGAGACGTGGTCTGGCGTACATATAGCTAGTTATACAGGGAAGATGAAGACCACACTTGGCTTAAAACTGCAGATAATTTTCGAGCAATACCATAACAGTTAGATACTTGGGTAGTAATTTGGACATTCGCCTCTTTATCACAGTCTTCTTGGAAATTCGCCACTTTGTCAAAGCAGTTGTAGACGTTAGTCTCTTTGTCAAATTGTTTATGGACATTCGCCAATTTGACTAATTAGGATGTGGACATTCGTCCTTTTGTTAAAATTTATACCTGGCAAAAACTGGCGAATGTCCCTTATCACCCATTCTATTCAAAATATTGACACAAGTTAAAAAAGCAAAATGTAATGCAACACTAAAGAAGTATTTAAGACAACTAACAAAGGTGTGGCTTCATACCGCTATCTTGCACGTCAAAAAGGAACCTTATTTCCTCTCTCCTAGAAACTTAGCCGGCTCGGACATCAGTCAATTCATCAAAATTTGCCAGATGTGTCTTCAAACTCAAATATCCGCATCTTCTTGAGGTAAGACATTTTAAATGTTTGCGCCATTTAGCCTCGACGCTATTTTCGATCACATTTAGTTGGGTTGTGCACATTTTCTCGATTCTTGCCTTTGCTTTCGTTGGGGAAGGAAAGCTACGGCACTTTTAAAGAGGTTATGTTGCCGACTCGTTGTTTCTGCTTTACTAGCATGTTATAACAGTTGCTTCAGCGCATCAAGTCTATACTTTTCCCATTTCTAATTATTGGATTGATTAGTAGTTTCAGAGTGGATTCTTTCGGGGAGGAGAGGGAGGAGGAGGATGAAGGACGGCTGCTACAGCATCAGCAGGTTGGTGGAGTCGCTCAGGCCCATGACGATGACCACGATGATCAAGAGAAGGATCATGAAGGTGATAATTTTAGTTATGGATTGAATCTGTTATCTATTCGCACTTTCGTCTCTTCAACTTGGTGTGTGTGTGTGTGTTTCCTTTACTTTTCTTTTTTAAGGATGGTAGTGGTTGTTCATCCCAATCTGAGAATGATACGAGCAATTTAGTTGCTTCATCATCGGGATTACAAGGTGATACCTCTGTAAGTTAAACATGTTTTTTAAGCTTAGAAATTCAAAATCGTGTTTTATATTCTATTTTCAGCTATCACTATGCCTTTTTATTTTTGGTAGGACATTTCTGATGAAATTATTAGAAGAGAAGAATCGGATGATATGTCGCTGGTCCTTAACGATGCCAGAATTGAATTGGCTCAGTCGTCGAAGGCTGCGAAGACTGTACAAAAGAAGAAAACCAACAAGGAATTTGCTTGCTCAACTTGTAATTCCACGTTTGGTTCCAAAAGCCGACTGGAAGTATGTTTAGGCATATACTCGAATGTAAGTTTGATCTGTAACAATTAGGTAAATATTTTGTTTTGCTGAAATTGTTCTGATCTTTTTCCTGATATTTTAGCTGCCAAAGCAAGAAGACTATCAGATGATCTGACATCGTATGTGGAGGAGGCTATGGTAAAAGCTATGGAGCCAATAAAAAGGGAGCCAAACAATGGCAAGAAGAACTTCTCAGAAAATATTCTGAGAGTAATAAATAAGCGACCCCATGACGTAAAATTTTCTTGCTACTATTGCTGTTCCAATACTCGAATGTGTTAATGTCTCAACTAAAATAATTCCGTGTAACCAATATGAAGACAGTTTGATTGCTCCGAATAAGATTTTAAATAATACTCAGGAAGTAGATGGGTTGGTTGATGGTTTACTATTTTTAAATGATGATAACGGCTTAGAAGAGGGATACCCTATACCTAAGATGGTATTATTTCAGTTACTTTCAAAGGTTTTAAATAGCCTTCCTGTTGTATTGTTTAATTCCATGAAATTGCCTACTGCTGAGGAAGTTGATGTGGATTGTTTACAGCCAATAGAAGTACATTCTTTAGAGTTTCATTTGAGTAAGCTATTCGATACCGCAGAGCGAGAACTGGGCTCGTATTTATGGCACATTTGCAGCTCCATAATTACCCAATTTGACACAGCTGCTTTTCACACAGCTGCTTCGGGGGTTGGCGTCTCAATAATGGCTCTAGTTTGAAAGAACCGGCTGATCCTGAATTACCAGTGATGTCTTTTGAATGGCTACATCACGGATCAAAGTTATGTCTAAGGAAAGGCTACTTTTCGTAACAAAGAAGCCCTCTGGGATCCTCCTTGGATCCACGATAGGGACGACGAAGACGTCTCGAGGAGGGCTCCGCATTGGATCAAATTAACTCAACGTTGCCCAGAACTCTGGTTTCAATGGAGGATGACAGCTGACTTCAAACTGGCTCAATGGTGTCTGTAGGGTGCATGCGTATGATCCGTTCATGAGACAAAACGTCTTGTACGCACTGTATTCCATTTGGCGATGAAACCACTAGCGAATGTGGGAATGCCATCATGGAGTAGAACTTTAATGGAGTAGCAAAAAACTACGTTGAAATGTGTGCCGCGCTGCCTGGCGGAGCTATCTCCTCTGAAGCCATGTGGCCGTGTATGTAGAGAGAGAGACAGGGCCAGGGTCATGAATGTCCATGAAACAATAACCGTCTGACACTGCGGCCTTCAGGGTCTTCACGGTTGTGTACAATAAGAAGAATTTGAAGTAAAAACTTTTATTTCACTGGCCCTATTTGAAGAAATATGACCCTCACTCTATCTGTCTCTCTTTACATACATGGGTGGCACATAGCCGAAAACAGATTTGCGACGTTCCAGGCGTCGTAGCTCCAGTTTGAATGATGCTACACTAAAAACAAGGGCATCATTACCTGCAAACGAAAAGTAGCCTTTCCTTAGACATAACTTTGATCCGTGATGTAGCCATTCTAGAGACATCACTGGTAATTCAGGCTCAGCCGGTTCTTTCAAACTAGAGCCATTATTGAGACGCAAACCCCCGAAGCAGCTGTGTGAAAAGCAGCTGTGTCAAATTGGGTAAGTATGGAGCTGCAAATGTGCCATAAATACGAGCCATATTACATTGACTTTGCCTTGTCTGTACTTGTGAATGTCAGCAGCTAGAAATGGACGCAGACCATAAGTTTTGTCTCACCGGGAACGAGTGTTTCATTACATGGAAAACTTCGTCATGTTAAAACTGCATGACGTGACTCTCTATCTCATCACAAAGACCATGTGTACAATGGATTTTGGGTCCGCTGTCAGACTATCCCAACTTCCTATTCACTACTGCTTGGTACGCTACCTAATCCAAGATTAACCGCTGCAAGGTACCTTCCACACCGTTTTTGACGATGTTGCCGGTCAATTCAGATTGCGGCATGTTTTTGAAAATGCCTCACTGACGCTATTGATTTAACACACCAATTTAGTTGTTCAGCCCCCTTTTTTTAGGTTGCATATGATAAAGCACTTGTTGTGTTGTTATGGATTGTTTCGGGATATTGAAGTAAAGAAATGCGAACAAAAATATTTGAAAGAGTAGAATAACTTTTTAGTGAAAAGTAAAATCGATGGCAACTTCTGCATAGGTCCAGTCAAGATACATCAGAGGTATACGACGTAGCAACATTGCTGGGAGCTTACTGTTGGCCCTGCGGATTTAAAAAAATAATTAAAAGGAGTCATTGCACTTGGAAACAGGCAGGATCACCCAGTACCAAATGTCGTTGCCAACTCCTCTACGTTGGCAACTCCATTGGGCCGGGGGCATAGCATGCTTAGCCAGGCCGGCGACGGCGTTCTTGCCAGGCCTTCGGCCTGACAAATAAGTTACTGTTCTAATATTGAAGTTAATTTCCAGTGAGAAATGAAAAATCAGTACGATATCGAAACGATGTCAGTTTCCGGACCATTTTTATCTCACTACTGATACGCAAATGGTCCTGAAACTGACACATTTCTGAGATATGATATCGTTCTAATTTTTCATTCCTCACTGGGAGTTGTTCGTTAGGTGCGCCTTCGGCCCGCGAACTGTATACAAGGGCTAGGATTTAATGGATCTTTGTAACGCTGCACCAGTGACTAAAGCCCACCCTTCTGTTTGAAAAGCATTTTTAAACTAGTTACATGCTCTTCTAAATGCCGTCCCCTTCCGTACCCTGCCACCCCCTGGACCCCACTTTCATGAAAAAAATATTCCAGCCTAAAATGGATGTTTTTTCTTCAACCCCCCTGGACACCAGCTGAGGTCGATTTCTAAATCAGAATGTGACGTTTGGGGAAGTACTTCCTTTAACGCATTTCGATTTCAGGCCTGCTTTGCGACTTTTTATCAGTTATAACTACATTTTCCAGATTTTTCTAAATTTGGTTTTAAAATTGTCTGAGAAACAGAAGAAGAAGAGCTCAAATGGGAAAGGTTACACCCCCAAAACCGACTATTTCCAGTCGATTTGGAAAGTGGTTTTTTTTTAGAAAAATTGACTTTGCAATTTCTGTACATATCAATTAATTTCCCCACCTATATATGGTTTGGCAGGATTTGCATCCCCGGTGCCGTTGTCTGTGAGTGATTCCAATGATACCCTGAAAATTTAAAGTGTCTAGCTTGTGCCCTTCTAGTGGAACAGACAGAAGGTGGAACTCCAATAGACGCCTAAACGCTCCCTATCAACCCATCACCCCTTCATGCCATCTCCCCATTATGCCCCACTTGGTGATTTCGTGTATAAACGGTTGCGATTGCGATTCGAGTTGTGCGATGTGAGTACAAGAATATTATGATTTTTCAAAAATAAAAATCAATCTGCCTCTTATATCGCACAGACAACGCAGGGATATCCTCACGGAAACATGCGAGGATGGAGATAATGGCGATTTCCCGGCGACACCATTTTGGCGCAATGTAAATATCTCTCGAATCTCTATCGCGGCAGTATATTTCAGACGAAATCTGAGAAAGAGCTCATCGCCAAAATATAGCCAACATTATCGCAGCATCGGTGCAATAATCGCCATAGCGGTATCCAGCCCTTACACAGTTAATAATTTCTTGGGATTTCCCGAAGAAGCCACTTTTAGAAATTCCCAGAGGACTCTGTTCTTAATTTTCCTGTCGTAAAAACTTAAAAACACCTGTTAAAAGGGGCAAGTTTTTAGTCGTATGTGTGTTTCAAAGGTAACGTGAAATCTACTGAAATCTACGGAGTCCTTGAGAAATACCGAATTCTTGTTAATATTTTTCACGAGTGTTCCTACGTGAAATCCCAGAATTTTATCTAACAGTGTATCATCCGGCGATATCTTAGCACGTGAGCCTTTTGTACCAAACCTCACAATCAGAGGATATCACCACCGATATCTATGCGATGTAAATTTATCGCTGGCGTGGATTGATATTGATATTTTTGTGCTACATGGGTAAGGTAATACAACTTTGGAACTGTAACCTGACAAAAGTCATACTGCAACGTAGTGTCCTTTACGTAGACATTCGACTGCTAGTTCAGCTGTGCTGCAATAGCACATGTACAAATTTAAGGTGCCTACGAAAATGCAATACGTTTACGGGGTCCAAGCATATATGCTTCGTACCAGCATTTTGTTGCACGACCCAGGCATAAAAAGATCGGTTCGAGCATCGGTTATGCGTGGATCTCGCATAATATGCTTGGTTCGCGCATGGCCCTGTTCGTCCGCAAGAATTGTGCCTGATTTAAGCGCCAAATTATGCTTGGTTTGGCTAAACATTTCTCTGGGTCCATCTTAAATCAATACCAAGAGTGTGAATATCAAATTAGCGCTCTTGGTTTCTGAAATGTTACGATGCTTTCACACGCGTAGAGTGGCTCATTTACTTACTTCAATGGCGCACTTTATATTCCATGGTGCTGCGTCGAAGTAGTAGTGCAAAGAGAACATGCCATACTTATCAGCGTTCTCACCTACACAGCTTGGCGAGTTGGGAAGAGTGATCTGCATGACAAAGTGACAAGTAATATGAAAGGTTACCAAACATCAATCACTTCTGTACTAAGGTGATCCAGAATGCCAAAAGTATTCGACACATACAGTTAGTACTCTGGATAATGTTCTAATACCGGAAAGAACTTCTCTGAATTTATGGGAGATTTTTCGGATAATATTAATGGGCATCGCAGGTCAATTGTGTTTTTACTTGGAATTTGCCATGTTTAAGCAAAAATGTGCCGATATCGGCCTTTATCTGAAGGACCTCGACAGCAAGAAGTCATGTGTATTTTTTGTTCGCGAGAAAAAATACATACGAACCTTGCAACGGTTGTCCGGAAATGAGAAGTTTTTGGCCTACATTTTAGGCGCAATGTGGAAAATTCACTAGAATTAACGATTTTGCCCCTTATATGATGGAAATCGACCAAACGTCGTATAACTTTTCATGTTCGAAAGAAAAACATACATACTGGATCATGTTTTATTTCTACAGAAACAGTGCCTGTAGCCTACATTTCTGGCGAATCATCAGGGAATTTAACAAAGGTAAGAAGGAAATGAAATTACTTTACCAGGTAAGTTCAGACTTTAGGTATGAGGGTTATTCTTTCTGTCTTCAGCTGCAACAAGCAACAAAACCTGCCTTTTCTTTTCAAAATTAGTAATGATGTGAACATATTCTGTTATTAATTTTACTCCTCTTTCAGCTACACCATTAACAACCCTGAGTAGGCGTACTACAGCTTGATCCCTGCGGTACAATTCCAAATTACCTCAAGTAGCAGGGTTGTTGTTCAAAAAAAAAACATCTACTGATGGTTTAGGCGGGGGGGGGGGGGGGGTCTTCCAGCTTAAGGTAAAGCAGGACTGAAATTGTGCAAAGTCGTCCAAAAAACAGTTACGCTAAAAGCAAAAAATCTATATGCTAAGTACATCAGGAAATCGCGCTCCAACAACGTCTAAGTTAGGTCATTGTGGTTCGGTTGAGGTATAATAAGCCCATGTTTGGATGGAATCCGTTGCGCAAGAAGCTCTTCAAAGTGTAGGCTTAGTTTCTATAGCAGAAGTAGAATTAGGATGAAATTCTGCATCTACTGGTACCAATCATGGTACCTTGGCAGTCAATTTGCAAATTTTTGCTCTTCGGGTCAACACACTCAAGAAATCAGTTTTTCTCACTTTACCCCCCCCCCCCCTTAAAGACAGCTTGACGGTGTTTACTTTTACCGACAATTACTGCTGCAAAACGCTGATGCACATATTGCAGAACCTTTAGGAGGTTTTGACACAAACTGTCTTCGTTGAGCTAAGCAGCCGCGTGAATGCAATTTTTGTTTCACTGTATAAAAATTTTGTGGTAAAAGTAACAAGAAATTTCTGGAAATTTTATCAAACGAGACGGTTGTAAAACCCCCAAAACAGAATGACTTGTAAAATCACAAGTTTCTTTGTGACGAGGCAATCACAGAAAAATTTTGTTCTTTGATCAAAACGAAGTTGAACTGTAAGTAATTTTAACGCGACTGAAGGTTTTTTTTTTATTAACGTTCGAGTATACCAATGCTTAGGCGAGGTCAATAAAACAAATTGGCATCAAACTTGTTTTTTTGATAAAACAAGATTTTGTTGTTGCCTTGGCTAACCCTAAATGCGAGATGCTGCCCCTCGGCAACAAACGTCTTTCAGGGCACGTGCCATCCACATTAGGAAAATATTTGCATAAGTCCCGCCGAAAATAAAGAGAGGAGGCCTTACTCGACCTGAAAATCCAAATCTCGACGTTGTCCGACATTTTCACATGACTCCAATGTGCCTCCTAGATGGACCATACAGGGCAATTTTGAACTAACGAAATTGACGGTTTTCCGATGGGTCTCAGAACTAAACAAACGCAGCGGCAGATACAAAAAAATTACTTCCTAGTATGGCTGCTCTAGGACTTCATGGCCTAACGCCAAACGCGCCTCAGGCAAATCACCACTCCTGTAGGACCCGTGAAACAATGTTGCCGCATGGCAACGTTTCTGATAAGGGTAACAAAAATTTCCGTTTGTGTACTGCGATCCGGGAGCATTGTAATGTAGGACCGGTCCGTTATATTTCTTAACATTATCTGACCTTTCACCCACCTTTTGCCTGTGAGCGGTGGGACAGCATTGCCTTTGTTGGCCCGTGGTGGCCCACACTCCAGTCAGACATAGTGCTTGTGCTAAATTACGCCATTTTACAGCTTATTCAAGAGGATTTAGGTCCTCTCACCCGCCCTTTACTTGCCACCGGCGAGGCGCGCAGAGAGAACCTATCGTGAACCGTGCCTATGCGATATATTGCTCGTGGGCAACACAGGCTTTCCTCGATCGTAAGGACAGGGGGGCAGGAGAAAGGGTGAAAGGCTAAAAGAACCCCCTTTCTCTTGAAGTAACTCCACAACACTTTGACTCACGACAAAGCACCCCCTCCCCTACCCCCTTGTGGCCTTACGCTAGGAGAAGAGCGACGTTGTTAAGGAGCAACATATCGCATAGGAATAGTTTACGGCCTTTTGAAATTACTATTTGTAGTCTTACAATCTTATTCGTGAAAGTACAATGATTTCTGGTAATATTCTATCTTTAACATGCACTGTATGAAATTTTCTTGAAATTTTTTACACATTTTTTACAATTTTTTTTTATTGTGTTCGCTTCTTGAAGGTCCCTCGAAGGTGTCGAAATTTCACAGGGAAAACGAAGGGCACCGTTTGTTGTGCATCCATAATTCAGTACTTACCTTGAGAGTTGCGCTTGTCTGCTGCTCCATCCAAGGCCGACTGTCAGTCACATTGCCGAGCACAAGGACCCCTATGCCGGCCAGCCTGCCATTTTGGGGATTTGTTGAAACGAAATACGCCCTGTTGCCTTCGCAGCGAACCGTCGAATTCATGTTTTCACAGAAGTGGTTACCTACAAACAGGAAAGAAAAAGTATATATTGCTGCTGAAATATAGAATCATGTCAGCTGTTTTTTTGCACGTGGTGCATTAATGCAACCGTTATTTATTACAAATTGTGGATCATCTATGTCTTTCAATCCTACTTCAGCGATTCTAAACCATAACCTTTTCCGTCTTGCGACTCCACAACGGCACCAAAAATCTGAAGCGGCACAAAGCCTGAATGTCGCGACCACACCTGACCCCATCCTCCTCCTTTTTTTAATTTTAGTTTTGTCTATTATTGACGTTTGTTGATAACTTCTTAAATGCGACAGGATCACACCCGTGGCCAAAATATTAATATTTTAAATGAAGTTTATTCAGTCAGGGAAGTTTCGACACACTAAAACGGTGTCTAGAACATAAGCCAGGGGAAGCTCATTTAGGGCCGGTCATAGACGACGCGTCCTAACAACAATGTTCTATCTCAGGGGTCACAAACTCGCGGCTCCCGAGCCAAGCGCGGCTCGCTTAGCCCGGTAGCGCGGCTCGCCGAGAGCCGCGCACCTCTTGCGTTCGGGTGGACCCGAGGTCGCCGAGAGCCGCGCTCGGATGGCTCGGAGCTGAGCTGGACCCAGCCGTCGTCGTCTGTCGCTGGACACACGCCGCTCGCTCGCTGGCCCAGTGTGTGTGTCTGTCTTTGTCGCACTCATTGAGGTGCCATTGGGAGTGACAAAGACAGACACACTGGCCGACGACCGAGCGCCACTACATCTATCTCTCTCACTCTTTTTGCCGAAGAGCTCGCAATGCGTGTGGCCTATGCAGGCGAGGCTCGGCGGATAGCTCGAGTTTGCAATGGCGTAACCACCGGGGGGGCCGGGGGGTCCGCGGCCCCCCCAACTTTCAAGTTAGGGGGGCCGTGCCCCCCCAACTTTCAGACCGACTAAGCAGAACCAAATTGATCAGTTCGGGCCGATGCCGACTGTCGGTCGAGACGCTACTGTATGGCTCTGGATTTGACTGGTATTCTTAGGGAATTTGCTTCCGCAAATGATAACAGAGAGAAGTGTTTTGGAAAAGTTTAAATTAATTTTTCATTTTACTGCTTTGACGTTGAATGATCTTTTGAACTATTATGACAAATAGATTGTTTTTTATGTTTATCACTTGATTCCC